ATTGTAAATTGTATTGTTGTGTGTATATTAAAACGTTTTTATGTTAAAAAAAGCAAACTGTGTTGGCAAATATCATAACGAAAATTCTGAGAGTTGATATGTCTGCAAAGAAGTAAAGTATATGCAGTCTACAAAAAAAAGATAACATAAAATAAAAATAAACATCAAACACTATCAAATACACTTTTCAATTTCTATCCTTAATCACTTAGAAAAATAAGTTATTCACAAATTTATTTATGATTTAGCGGCAGCAAAGTCCTTTAATAAGCCCCAAACTTTTAAGTTCTTGACAAGTTCGCTTTCAGTGGAGCCTTTTTTTTTTTTCATTGTTGAGTGCAAATATATTTTGATCAGTTTCGGTATCGAAAAGCAGCGCTACCTAGAAGTATACGGAATGATGTGAAGTTGTAAGAGAAAATGTCGACTAATTTGTTTTCATCCATGTACTGTAGCATTCCAGTATTCAGGACATCTAGTTCATCTGCTAACGCCAGGGCATCAATGTCGTGGTCATCTTCATTGCTCAAATAACTTTCAAGTTTCTGCAGTGATCTCTGAGTTCGGCTTTTTTAATCTTATTAAAGGCTTGTCAGGAACTTAAATCACATATGATGTTCCATCAGTTGTTATAAACGTTCTGTTTTTATTATTACTTTGTAAACAACTGCATGTTAGCATTCTATTCGAAACAATCTTTAGCCTCATTACTAAACGGTGTCATCCTTGTCCTCATATTCAAAAGAGTTTTTTTCTTTTTCTTCCGCGAGTTTCTTTTAAAAAATCTCACCTATTTCCTTCCTATAGATGTTTGTACCAAAATGAATTTTTCTGTAAAGTAAGTGTTTGCTTCCAAAGGCACTTCTTTAAAGACCTGATTTTCTTTTGACTGTAACGTTACAGACACCCCACCTCTCTCTCTCTTTTCGTGATTCGAGATAAGAGTTAATTGTTGCTTTACGACTTCGGTCCCTCATGAAGGGTCATGATTCATACTCCCTGTTGCCCCATTTTTTGTTTTTGTTTTTCTTTACTACTGCCAGACACGAGCTTGCGAGTCGTGTACTCACTTTCTGGCGACGTCTCAGAAAAAAAAAAAAGAACTCGTGAGGACTGTGCTTTGAATCAAAACTTGATTTTTTTTTTCAACGACGTCACTAAAACTGTGTTCCTGACGACGTCAGACTAAACACAAGTCTTTAAGTGACAGCGTAATTTCACGTCAATTTTGAATACGACATGGAACCCAGAGACGAAGAGGCCCTGGGCGCCTTTCTTGGCTTGCGTATAGTTGTTGATTTAAGTTTAACACTGTTATATGTATTTATTTTCTTGTGAAATAAGAGATATTTCGTCTTTATAAAGACACAATTGTTCTATAACTTTATTCCAACGTTATTTCTTGAAACACATGAGTGAATTAAGATAATCAGCCTGTAAATTAACCCCACCTGCAATACTTTAAGAGATTGTACTGAAAACTTAAGTTAATTTTAACATCGACTACGAATATATAAAATTTAAATATTCATTTTATAGTTAATTTTCATAAATCAATTTCGACGTCTATGAATAAAAACGAAAGATCTACTTACATATTACAACCGCAGCTATGAGTCTTACTCCATTTGGTGGCGGCGTACAGCCGGGAAAGAAAGGCTCTAGGATGTAATTCGCGAAAGTCAAGGCAGCTATCGCATTTCCTGTGGGCATAATGATCAAAAGTGCTACCCACAGAAACAAAAATGCTGGTAAGGGTCCAAAAGCTTCATAAATATAGGCATAGTCACCTCCAGATTTTGGTATAGATGTTCCGAGTTCGGCGTAGCACAATGCACCAAGCATCGAAATAAGGCCACACGCTATCCACACGACGAGAGCCATGCCAACGGAGCCTGCTTCTTGTAACACGCCACGAGGCGATACAAATATTCCTGACCCCACTATTATCCCCACAATGATTGCAATTCCATTTAACAACCCAAGTTCTTTCTTCAGTTCTACATTATTTAGAGATTTCTCTCCATTTTTCTTTCCCTCGGGATTCATCGGTTCTTTCTCTGGTATCTGATTTACTGACATTGTGAATGTTGTCTTGATGACAAACCTACAACGTGTTTTCCGTTTATTAATACAACTTAAGCGCCGTGAACTACTTACTCACGTGGGTTGTTGGACTAAAGAGTCAGAACGAGGCTTTAATACACCATTTTTGTCACAAGATCATGCATGTGGCGCCATCGATTGACCAATATCTCTACTTTTTATTATTATTATTACCTTTGCCATGTGAGGGTATTGCAAACGGGTCAATATGTGTGTATGTCTGTGTTTCCGCGTGCCTACCTCAAAAACAAATAGACCAATGTATAAGAAATTTTTACGTGAGATGGGAAGTTAGTATGGAACAATCCTCCTCGGATTCTGGAACACTTTGAAGCATTTTTTATAATGGGGAGAAGGACATTTTTAGCGGTTTTCGGTTAATATCTCTTATAAAGTGTGATCACATTTCTACCAAATTTCATGAGCATATTAAGGTTGAGACTCCTCATCACACAAAAAATGATCCAGATCATTCTGGATCTGAGAAAGATTTTCTGAGTTTTCGAAGGTGAAATTTGACGTTATCCAGTATAAACGCGTGTAATCTCGAAAAGGAGCGGCGGGAGAGGTTATGTAATCTCTCTGATTGCCCTTGCTGTTCATGTGTACGTATGTATTTGTTATTATTGATCATTTGTAAGTTTTCTTATTAAAAATTTCAAGCTACCATTTAACAGCGTTTCTTATATCTCAGAGTTTCAACATTAAGAACAACTATAAGAGAAAAATGTGTAAAAGTCTTAAATATTTATATTATGTTTAAAAATTAGTTTTGAGGAAAAGGCAAACACACGAAAAAATAACGAAAAATGTGTATGTATATAAAAACTGTAAAAATACCTTAAGACTGTACATTTTTGAGAAATACAAACATTTAAAAGTTAGAAAACAAGAAAATATTTGAACTAGAAACATATAAATTGTTGTTTCCAACATAATGAGGCCTAGAATGTATGTAATTCATGTTAATACTGTTTTGCTATACTACTTCGTATCGTTATTTTGCAATTATTTTCAGTATTGCAATACAAATATCACGAGTTTGGCCCGTAGGCAGGGGCGTAACTATGCAGATGCAGCCAATGCAGTGGCACTGGGGCCGGCACCTGAAAGAAACCCAAACAGGAATATCAATAATATAAATAAAAACATATATATATATGTTATTACGTCTCTGGTCGTTTCTTAATTTCCCGTATGATTTCTTTCGGATGAAACTTTAGCGACACAAGTCATTTCTTAATAAAACTAATTTATTCTTTCTCAATTCAACTTTGCAATAAACTTAATTTCCACAATCACTTTGACTTAAACACACGCTATAATTCACAACGAACGATTCACACGCTTTGCGTACTACAGCGCTTGACTCGATTATCTGTCTCTAAATCTCTCTGTCTGCAATACAATTATTCATATTGTTACGTCTCTGGTCGTTGGATAATTTTCCGTAGAAATTATTTCCGAAAAACTTCAGCGACACAAGTCCTTTCTTAAATAAAACTAGTTTATTCTTTCTCAATACAACTTTGCAATACACTTAATTTCCACGGTCACTTTAACTTTAACACACGCAATAATTCAAAACGATTCATGCACTTTACTTACGGTAACTACCACGCTTGACTCAATTGTCCGTCTCTATCTCTGCCTGTCTGCAATTCACTTCCGATTCATTCTCTGGCGCACTTATATACATGAATAGAGGGCGCCTAGCAAATACTGGATTATTCGTAATGTTCCCCAATCTTTCTAGAACTCATTATGTGTTACCAGGGTCACGTGACTTCCGTTGTCGTAACACTGCCCCTTCCTTAGTA